ACCATGCAACTCCTCCCTGCGGCTTTCGGTGTGTCCAACAAGCACGAAGCCCTGCTGGAAGGATCCAGTGTTGACTTCCAATCCAAGCGTCTTGAATTTGTCATCGAAAGGTTTGCATTTGTGGCCTTCTGTCGCGTAGGCCAGTCCAAGCAGATTGAACAAGGCTTCGCACGCCCAGCTGCTGCTGCTTTCCAACTCGCACCGAGAGAGCAAGGTATAGTCATCATAGAAAGCACTCCAAAGCAGCCCTAGGCCAAAGTATCCCAAGAACCAAACTGCTTGGCTGACACGCAAAAAAACCTGCCACTGAACCCACCGCCCCGAAAGGCAAAGAATTGAAACCAATGATTGCACACTGCTCTCTGCCGGGCACATTGACGCCCATACGTAGAGCAGCACGATCGTCGGGGTGCACTGCAAATTGCTTGTAGGCAGAGCGCAAGTCATACGTCCTGCCTCTCAGCTTTGGTCGCCCATCTGACGGGCAAAACTTCAAAGCAAAGCTCACCATAGCTGCCAGAAAATCAACTGAATGCAATTTGAACTTTTCGTGAAGTCCTACTGTCAAGTTGAGGCCACAGCACGTGCAGTCATCAATGACTCGTATCTTCGACCCCTGCTTGATGCCGAATCGCCGGCCCACAAATTTGCCTCCAGTGTCATTGCTCTCATCAAGAAAAACCCAGCCTTTCTCCAGCTCAACCTGTGTTTCCTTCCAGGTCGACTCTTCCAGTTCAGGGTCCTGGCGCTTGCCAAGAGCTGCAAGGTTCTTGGAGTTGAAGGGCTTTCCAAGCTTCCTGAGGGTCTCCATAGTCATTGCAGGCCTCTTTGACCTGGCTCTGAAAACGTTGGACTTCGGCATGTATCCACTCAGCCTGAACCCACTTGCTATGTCACTAGTGAGCTTGTCATCAGGATAGCCAAGCTCCTCCAGCATCTCGCCCATCAAAAGCAAACGTTTCTGCCCCACCACGTCTCTGACATGCTCAGGCATCTTGTCCCTTAGCTGTTGTTCCTGCACAGCAAGCTCCTTTGCTCTCGCCGTCCATTTTTTCATGTATTGCACCCTCTTTTTGGCCAACATGTATGGAGGATCTACAAGGTTCTTTTTTACCACCTCTTGCATTGCATCGTCCACGTGAACATCGAGTCCTCGTGGGTGGCCTGCCTGTCTGGCTCTTTCAACAAATTGGCCAGGGGTGCTAGGTATTCCAATCCAGCACAACTCAACCATGTTGGATGTCATCAGAACCAGCCAAAACAGTGTACCCCTCCTGCACGACCCGCAACTTGAACCCTTCGGAAGTGAAGAAATGAAGGTTTCCACCGCGGTTGTTTGTTGTAGAGGTGCTACGGCTGCAACAAAGCCCCCAAACTCAGCCACGAGAGGGCGAACTTTGGTCCCTCTCGGGAGTGCTCCCAAGGCAATGCGACCGGCAGTGTCCGCATCAGGGTGTTGCATCTGTTCTGCAAGCGTTGTAGAAACTAAGGCTCCCATTTGGAGAACTTTTTGCTTCACGCATTCTACAATGCGCTAACACAACACAAACGGATAAGCAGCCTCTTCAGAGGTGGGGAAGTGGATCGCATTTTTGTTTACTGTCACCTTCCAGGATTTGTGACTGTGAGAATTGTCACATCTCGCCTCCAATGCGTCCAACCAGTCGTCATTAACCCAAATTGAGGTTAGTTTGTCACGTGACCCACCGTAACTGCAGTTGTGAAAAGTAACAAACTTATCACCAAACTCTTGCATGATGTTTTGCATCGGTGTTGTCCCCCAGTAATGGCTGTTGCCAGGGTTTTCAATGCCAGTGAAAATGTTTGCCCTGCAGGTTGTGCGAGTGATCTGCTCCACCGCATTGTAAAGCATGTTAGCCTTCTCAACTTTGAGTTTGTCAGTGTCTGCAAGGCCATCTATTTGGTCCGGTTGTTCATTGGACCGCAAAGGAATGGGCACTTGTATGCCCAGTCGCGCCAATTGTGGTAGGCGCCTCTCACGCGCCTTACTAGCTGTGCCACATGAAGGAGCGATCCAAACTGCAGCAATGTTTTCCGCCTCCGCCTCCAGGAAAGCACAAAGGTCATTGACCTGCTCTTGATCTTCCAGTTCAAAAATGCAAATATCACTGCCGCAAGTCCTCTTGTCTGTGTGGTCCACGGCAATTCCATTGAACCCAGCTTCCCTGGCAGTTCGGGTCAGCCTGGCACTGCCTGCACAAATTTCCACAAAAATAAGATCACCCAGCAATTTGCCTGAAAATTTGCTGCCATATTGCATTGTAAATTCTGAGGACCGTATACCCTTAGGGTGGTCACCTGGCACCACGTCTTGTGGCTTGGGCCGTGTAGGCAAGTTGTTGTCTTGGACAAAAGTGCCCTTGCCACCACATCTTCTTTTGCGCCCGTCATCGTTGTTCGAGTTGGGCTGTAGTGAAACCAACTTCCGTTTCCCACCTGACTCCAAAAGGGGGTCAGTGGGACTGACATGTCAAGCAGCGTCTTTTGAGAGCCCCCTGCAAACCACCACCGAATGCCCAGGTTTGTGGCAGTTTGCACACACGTGATAGCCTTTTGCGCACCTGGACGGTTTGCCCGTTGTAGAGTTCTTGCAGCCAGACTTCATGTTATATGCCCAACACACTGGCCCATGATCACACTTCAAATTGAACTTCCGCAACTCCTCAGGGCAACTTTTCTCGGCTCTGGTTTTTCTGCGCTTGTTCGTGCTCTTGGCTGCTGCTTGAACTGGTGCTCCTTGTGGATTCTTTTTGACCGGTCCTTCCTTGTCAGCCGCTCTTGCCGCTGCAGTTGTAGGAAGAAGGAACATGGTGATCCTCGGGTCATGGCACAGCCTTGGCACCAAAGTGTCAAGAGGTATGGCCCCATTGGCTGCCGGCTTGAGGCTTCCTTTCACCTCTTGAGCTAGCAGCGTCCACAATTCTCTGTCTGCTCTGATCAGTTGCTCCACCTTCACCTGCTGAAATCCAGGTGGTGCAGTCTGGCTCATAGTGCGGAACAGCTGATGCACCCAGGCGTCATGCACCTCCCAAGACAAAAGTCTGCACTGATCCATTGCTAATCCACGCCTCTGCCAACACCATTGCAACTTGATCTCACTGCCATGGTCTGCTCGGAACTCCTCCGACACCTGTGCCACTTTAAGTTGTTGGTTTTCCACCTGCACGGCAGAAGGCCGATCTTTGATTGCAAGCTGTACTTCGTCAGCCCTTTTGGTGCATCGACTAGGTGCAATCCACACCAATGACCCTGTCTCCAGAATGCTATTGGTCAGGTCCAACAGCTGGTGGCTCGGCTCCAACTCGCCACTGATGTTTACACCTGTGAGTCTGCGCTCCTGCTGCTCCAACCTGTATCGCTTTTCAGCTATCGGAATTCTCTTGACTGCATCGGCCTTGTCTGCTGCTTCACCATCTACTCTTTGTTTGACGGAAGCTATCATAAGAGTGGTCGCTTCGAAGTGCATCCTTCTCAGCATGGACGTCTGTCCCAAGGTGACGCCAGGGCCGAAAACGGCCTGTCCCAACGTGTTGAACTGCTGTTCTGTCGGAGCTGTCTGCGGAGTGCTCAGCGAAAAAGCCATTGCACTGAATGTAGAAATGTTCTGTGTCCCCAGCGCATTCCCAAAGTTGCCAGTTGGGTCGATCTCGTTGCATCGTTGTGTGAAAGCTGCATTGCTCTCGACCAGTGCCATCTTTGCAAACGACGCTGGAAATCCTATGAAACAAAACTTGTTTATCCATGTCTTGTGCTCAAAAACAACCTAAGCCTGTTTGCCTGTTCGCATTTCCTGACATGAACTGAGAGATCTGTCAAGTTGCATGTGAAGTGAAATCAACGTTTCACTTGCTCCATGTCATCCTTGCACAGCATGACGTGTTCGGCTCACCACATTTAGCATTGCCTATGTAGCTGAGCCTCTCCACGCATCATGACAAAAATTCAAGCATCAGCATGGCAACCCTGGGCACGGCCCCGATGCACACTGAACGCTCAATGAGTTGACAACTGATCTACATGTGAACCCAACTCTCGGCACGTCTGGTCTGTCAGCCATGAGCGGCCCTTTTTTGACTCCCACTGTGTCTGAGAGGGTGCACATGCATGCTGCTGCACAGCGAGTTGTCATGACCCCTTGTGCTCTCACTAACATCAGTGCATACTGTTTGATGCGAAATCACAATTTGAAAATGCAAAAGAAAACAGAGAAGCACGATGACAGATCATCGTCACCAGCAAATGCACTGACCTCCAAGTGGAGCCTATGTGGTCAAAGTAGACTCCCGTGCAGCGCTCGCCAATTCGGTCTGGCAGACATGTCAAACTCTCCATGAATGAAAGTGACAAGAGGTTTCACACGAGTGAACAAATTGAAACTGGAAGTGCAAAATGCTCTTGCCAATGCCGTCTTATGAGACTCAATTTGGGTGAAAAGGAACTGACATGTGAAACTGGGTGACGCATCGTTGTGGCACTGTGAGACCACCAAGTGGTAAATTTCCTGTTGGTTTCGGCCGGGGCCAGGAATCCCCCAAAAAAACCGAGATGTTGAAAAACTCGGTCTTTTTCAAGTTTGAATTTTCCACTGAATTTTGGTGACCCGACCCCAGCAGGAAATTTAGAACCACCAAGGTCCAGACGCGCGATTGCATACCCTGCATTTTCCTCCATTCACTCTGTCGCTGTAAGTTCCTATTATCACCCTGTTGTACATCACATGGAGTCTAAATACAAGTGGACAAAAATTCACAATGTTAAACATGCGGTTTCACGAGTGATTTGGAGTTGTCATGCACAGCAACGGATATTCTGAGGTCCCAACTGCAAGCTGACACAACTCACACGATCAATCTGAAAGAAATTGAAACATACATGACAAACTGAACCTACCTGCAAGAAACAACTGTTGTTTGATATCGTGACAGTTGCATGTGACACTGAACCCAAAACGGGTCTCGCACTCTGCCTGCCATGAAACTCTAAGTGGCCTGCTGTTCATTCCCGCGCGCGGCCTTGTTAAAACAGGCCCAACACACTGGTGAATCGAACCTTGGGTCCTGAGTGATTCGATGGTGGAAGCTGCCTACAGGTCGTCCACAAACGAAGACCCGGAAGTAACCCGGCTCAGTCAAATGAACTGTCTTCAATTTTGCATGCTGCCAACTCTGAAAACCCTCTGGAGGCTTGGGCGGAGCAAAGACCTTATTCAGTCCATGATTCTCTGGGATGCCACCTGACGATGAATCAGAGCTTGAAGTGCTATCAGAACTGGAACTCTTCTGCAATTCATCACCATGTTCCTCGTCTGATGACACTACAACTTCAACTTTGACTTCCGCACTCTGAGGAACATGCTCTTCCACGGGAGATTCAACAACCCTGCCACTGCGAGTGTTGTCAGGCTGGAACTTCCCTCTGGCAATCTCGTCAATGAGACGCTCAAGTAAAATCAGGCTTGCTGCTGCACCATCACGTGAGTATACCATGGCCATGTGCATCTGTGAAGCATGATACCCTAGCATCAACCTATCAGGCACTGACAGTCCTCTCTTTGCCGCAAATGACAACATGGTGCTCTTGAGGCTGTGGCTGCTGACCCTGCGGCTCGAATCAGATCCAGCCGCAACATCTAAGCCCAACAATCTCCTGAGCCATTTGCCGCATTCACCAGACTCCAGCGGCCTCTGCGACACCTGGCCATCCTTGTCTGGTGCAGGCATAACCAGTCCCTGAGGTGGAAATTCTAGGCCAAGCTTGAACCTCTGCTGCATCCACGGTGTGGCCCAATCGCCTCCGTGAACTCCCATCACCGGCGCAACCATTGGAAGGAACTGATGGCGGTGCATCTGTGAGCTCATAGTCTTGTGCCGTCCAATCCTGGTCTCAACATATGCAGGTTTGCCTTCCGCATCGTTGTCGATGAAAGTTGATTCGCTCCTCATCAAGTCTCCCCAACGTCCTCTGCAGTAGCAACAAAGAAGAGCGGCTCCTGCAAAAACCGAGTCCCAAGGATCTGACCCATCGTCCACCACTTCATGCAGCTTTCTCAACTCAAGCACTGTGAGAGGACTGGCTTGGCGTCGCTCCTTGGGACAGGTTTCAGTCGCCACACCGCTGCATCTCTTGCTATCCAAAATGCACTGCAGCTCACCTACGTCCAGCACATGTTTGCAGAATGCAACGGCTTGCAGAAAACCTTTGAGTCTACTTGCAGGTGCACCCATGGATGCCTCGTGACAAAGAAACCTGTAAAATGTGATCTCCTGCATGGGGAAGGCCTCCAACATGTTGGTCTCCAAGTAATCACAAATGCGAAGCACTGCTGCTCCACGTTTCCGCACTGTGACAGGTGCACGCCCACTGAAGACGTGTGCAAACATGTTGAAGACCTCTTCTTCTGTCCTCATTTCTCTGAGCTTGTGTGCCATGGAGCACTCGTCATGCCACCTGCTGGTGACCGCAATCCACAACTTTATGCCACGTTGTAAATCTGCTTCCCTCTGTTCTTGCCACGGCACATCAGGTTTGAACGACACCACATCCAGAAAGTTGAATGTAGGCTCATGGCAACGTTTGTTTGGACCCTTCATATCTGCCTCCAAAATCCGACTATCCACGCCCCAAGCTGTAAGAGCAGGTCTGGTCACCGGCGGCCCCCAAACATCAAAGTCCAGAGGAGTATCATCATCTCCAAAGATGTGTTTCCAAATGCCAGTCTCCCATATCTGTTTGGGTTGTTCAGCGTTTGCAGAATTGAAGGCAACATTGAGTGATGCATCAAAGTTGAACCCAGTCTCAGAAACAACCTGTTGAAACGACTCCTGTTCTCCTACACTGTCATGTTTTTTCAACTGCTGGTTTACAACATCATCGTCAGCCAAAGTCGTCGGACTAAACAGAGAAAACCTGTCTGCTTCCACCGGTTCTGTACCACCAAACAAATCACCTGTGTCCGGTCTTTCACCAGTGTTGTCTCTGTCACCATTCACCTCTTCGAGGTGCTCCAGATCCCTTGCAAAGCTGAAAAATGGAGTTGTGTCCAGAGAAACATCCAAAACAGCAGGTTTGTTTCCAACTGATGAATCCTCAAATGATTCGGCCATGGAACTACCAGCACACGTTCGCCCCCTATGAAAGACGAAAAATTTCCGTCAAAAAGAGGGCAAGTCCCTCCCACCCAACCCTTGATGGAAAAAACGTTTCGGAGGAAACATATAATCATCCGTTTCAAAAAACACATGTTTGGAAATCACTGTAAACGCGCACGAGCAAAACCAGAGTTTGACAAAAAGAAGTTCTTTAAAAATTGGTCAAACAGAGATTGTTCTCACAAAAAGGTTTTGCCCATGAAATTTGTTGCGTATGCAAATAAGTTAAAGTTTCTCAAGAGAAACTCGCCACGTGTTTGCAAACCTGTTGGACTGGCCTATTCCTTTGTAGGTTCCTTGAACCTTAATACAAAGGCAATTCCCCAGTCCAAGTCTGCCCAATGATTCAACTCAAAAGGTCTGCTATCACTTCTTGAATTGACCTGTCACATCCTTCAACATGTTATAAATTGACTTGCCAAAAAACGCCAAACCCTCAAAACTCAACATGCACCTGATCCACATTGGACATCTGACCATGCTCAACGTTCCATTGATGCAAGACTTGTTCAAGAGTCTCGAGTTTGTTTCAAAAGTTTCCGTCTAATGCAATGCATGGTAAATAAGACAACTGTGGCTCACACTCAGCTGCTTTGTTTTTGGCCGCATTCCCCGCCTTTAGCGTGAAGAATCCTTAAGCCTGAAACATTGCCTGCATTTTGCAGAATCGAAGCTCACCTGTCCATCATGCCTGTTGAAATTGGCACTGATCCTTCTGCCGCACAAGAGGACACGAACATGTTCATCATGTAACAAGTGAAACATCTTAGTGCTTGAGTTGAGCCACAGTCTCTTATCGTCTGGTATGGCAACAGCGTAATGACCAACAATTGGGGCCCAAGCAGTAATTTCCTCTCCTGAGGAGTCGCTGGAATCGGTCGTCAAATGGCCTTCATCCTGCTGTCCTACAGGTTCCACTAGCTCCAAAGTTTTGTCCTGATTCACTTCCGCCGGAGTGTCCAAGCTGATGTCACCAAATGCGACCGCTTCTTCACTTGCAGGACCATCCCTACTAACTGGGGCAACTCCTATCAAATCAAATTGATCCAAGGCTGCCGCACCAGGTCTCAGTCTCCCACTGCGAGTGCAATCGGGCTCAAAGATGCCCTCCCTGATCTCCTTCAGCACATGAGCAAGTAAGGCTAGAGGTCGTGCAGCACTATCCCTACTATATGTCATAGTCATGCGCAGCTTGTTTGCATGATATCCCAAAACCAACCTGTCATCATACCCTGCACCTCTCTTTGCAAGGTAGCTCAAGCACGTGCATTTGCATGAGTGACTTGTGATCCTAGTATTGGGTCTCATCAAATTGCTTCCCAATAAGTGGTGCATCCATTTCTTTGCCTCTGAGGTGGTGACCGGTCGTGCAGTCGGTTCCATACTGCTGTCAGGTGCAGGCAACAACGGCAACTTCTTCAAATCTTCTATACCCAACTGACGTCTGACATCCAGCCATTGGGAACCCCAACAGTCATCTGTCACTCCATGTGCTGGGGCTGCAACCGGTAAAAACATGTGTCGAAGGTGGTGTGCTCGAGCAGTCTTGTGTACCGATGTCCGCACTTCTATAAATTGAAGAACGCCACTTGGATCACTGTCACAGATCAACTCCTCTGCATGTTGTGCATCCGACCACCTGGACCTACCATAAACGCAGAAAAGGACCATGCCACTCATTGCACGGTCCCACAGTTCCTCACCAGCCCTCAAGCATTCATGAAACTTCTTCAACTGCTCAACGGTGAAAGGGTCTGCTTGTCTCGGACATGTCAAAGCTTTTGAACTAGCAGCACCTAAACATCTACGGCTCTCCACTACCTTTTGCAACTCCTCTACCCCCAAGACGTAGCGGCAGAAGACCAGGGCTTCAAAGTAAGCCTTCAGTCTCGAAGAAGGTGCTTTGGCGTCAACCTCAACACGAAGCAAAGAGTAAAACTGATCCTCATTGCAAGGAAATGGCAAACCCTTCTGTCTCAAAAGGCCACATAGCTTTGCCAGACTGTTGCATCTCTTCAAGATTGTCTGAGGCGCTTTGTTGTAAAACACATCTACCAAAATCTGAGCTTTCTCCTGAAAACTGTCCTTGCTCTGAATTGAAACTGCAAGTGGAATTTCCGAAGCTTCCCAAGTCTCAATCAAGGCAACCCAACGCCTAATGGCCACCTCCCATTGGGCTTCACGTTCTTCCCTCCAGGTTCGCTCAGGTATGTCCCTGATGTGTTGCAAGAAATTCTTCACCTCAACAGTTTGTTTCGTAGCTATTCTACGTTCAACCTCAACTTCAGTGCATTCGATTGCTGTTGAAGCATCAGGTACAGGCATAGGACGTTTGATACCTTTGGTCATCATATCCAATGCTGTAGTATTGGGGTCAAAAAACCTTGTCCAAAAATCTGATTCCCAGTGAGGTTCCAGCTCGATGTTTGGCAACGATTTCCAAGCCGACTGAACAACTCTGTCAGCGTCATAATCCACTGCCACAGGCTTGCAACCGTCTGTTGTAAATACCGGCAAAAACCCTGAAAAATCAGAAGCAATTGAAGGTTCATACATTGATCCAGCATGTTCAGAAACGCTTCCAAAAACATGACCTGTAACCAGTGTCCAGCTACTTAGATCAGCTCCAGACTCAGGCACATCCATGGCATCAACTACGACCCCCCATGCTACAACTCGCACCTAAAAGTGCAAGAGGCTCCCTCCTCACCCTCCCTTTCTTGAGGCGAGCACGGTCGAAAAAGGATTCACATGTTTTCTAAATATACATATGACATCAGAAGTTTTATTTGTTTCACAAACATCTTCAAATAAGTTACACAACCAATTTGTGTATTAAAATTCTTACCAAGTCACAGATCAAATTTCTTCCAGGATCCAAGAAACTTGAAAAAATAACTAACAGAGTTTGAGAGACTGATTTGCGTTAAGAGTTTTCCAAGAGGTTTTGAAGTGAAGAAGTCAACATTCCCAGATAGGGAAAAAGGGGGAAACTGCCTAATTTTGTCCAAGACAAAATTTTTCCTTTTGTGCAAATAAAGGGAGCATCATTGCTTTGCAATGAGCGAACCCTTCATTAAATTGCATTTTTGAAGAACCGATGCATAAACGGCCGAGGCAAGATCGAGGCTCGAGGCAAGATCGAGGCAAGATCGAGGCAAGATCGAGGCAAGATCGAGGCAAGATCGAGGCTCGAGGCAAGATTGAGGCAAGATCGAGGCAAGATCGAGGCAAGATCGAGGCAAGATCGAGGCAAGATCGAGGCACGATCGAGGCAAGATCGAGAACAATCGAGGAAATGTAAATTATTCATATTTATATACAAATATATATATATATATATATATAAACATATAAAAAAACAAAAAGTACAAGAAAATGAATTTAACAATAAGTATTTGATGATTTTTGATTAATTTTATCAAAAAATACATATATATACATCGCAAATGTGTTTTCTAATGATTTTTACTGCTACAAATGCACATCAAAGCCAACTGATGCTGACAACTGCACGAAATTGTCTCCAAATATACATGATCCATCGCGCAAAGATTTTTTCAGCTGAGCCGGCTCATCCACATCTCATTCAAATTCTTGTAAGGTCCAAGATCAAGGTCCTGCAGGGAACGCACAACGGAATGACTCGAAGCCAATGGTTTGTAAAATCTATAACTACAACTGGGATACTGCAAACCAATTGTTTTGAAAATCGGGCCTTTATCTGATTTTTTTGAAGCGGCTCTGCATGGTGAAGTGACCTTATTGTCTTTTCTGATGCAAACAAACGCTGAACAAAACAAAACCATACGCACTTGAAAACAAGAGCCCCACATCGTAGTAGAAATCACCGATGAAGCCGCTTCTATGTTCTCACTGCCTGGCGTGGCTCATCATATTAATCAAAAAGAAACAAACTGGCACTCTACAATGGCAGAAATTTTCTGATCATTGGAAAACTCTTTGGCCTTGCAGCTGGCCAGCTACACTTGTCGAAGTGTTGAAAGACCTGCTGAGTGATTTAAAATGTCGAAGTATTGAAAGACCTGTTGAGTGATTTAAAATCCACCTTGTGTTGGTCTTGAACCATGGCTGAGGATGCTGCTGGTCTTGCTCGGACACCTCTCTGTCAGTGCATCTAAAGGCAAAGTAGATGAATCATCACACAAAAATTGAAACGTAGGGTTAAGGTCTGCGCTTGAACTTGTCTGACAGGAGGCACCAGCCTGCTGAAAGACTTCCATAGCTTGAAGTTGCTCTTTAATCAAACACGATACTAAACCATGCAACTTGCAATATAACCTTCTCTTCATGAACAGGTAGTTCCACTATGTACAAAATATGAAAATCGATTGCTAAGGATCTGGCTGGGTTGGAAAGAAGGAAGAGCTTTTGGGCGGACCCAATTGAGGTGGCGGTGGCAGTGGCTGTACCATATCAGC